TGTACAAGTCAAAGAAGGCATCATCAAAACCAAGTTTATAAGAATTGTTTTATTTAAGGATTTCATGAAATATTCGACTTGTTAATCAAGAATTACTTTTGACATAATCAAGAATTACTTTTTGTTAGAGAAAAATAACTATTTAAAAAAAAACACTAAGAGGGCTTACAAATCTTTAATTAATTTTTATTTTTATTTTTTTGTCAATGTAATTCTTTCACATTTACTTAATTTAAGGTTAGAATTAATAATTTATCTTGGTTAATTTGGAAGTGATTTCTTGTCATGTTTAAAAACTATTTTAACATTAAATTGATAATTAATTTAGAAAAATTAAATTTAACTTTTTTGAATAAACATAATTAAGACTCTAGGGACCAAAATTGATACATAAACAAATTCTCCGACTTTTCTTCTTTTTTTACTATTTTTAGGGTATGCTTATAACATTTTTATTCCTTAAGGCTTTCTCTTCTTTTCTTTTTTTTGAAGTTTTTACATTTTAATTTAGAATTTTATTTTCTTTCATGTTTTAGTGTTTGAGCTCTCGAGAGAACAAAGAAGATCATTGTAAGAAGTTGAAAGAAAGAAAGAGATTGGTTGGTCCGATTTAGTTAAAAAAAATTATCAAAATTAATGTTAAAGTGTTCATCTCAATAAAAGAAGTGTTATTGAGTTGTATTTAACCTTTAGCATTGCTTGGAAAAATATATTAGGGTCGATTTCTTTTTTTTCTTTTTAGCTTGATTTTATGTTTTTTTAACCAATTATAGGGTTTTTTTAGTTGAAGAATTAGTTTTTTGTGGTTATTACCAGAGTTTTGAAACTCGAGCCGGCTCGGTGGGTTGACCTAGGATGCGGCCGATCCGGGGCTGGAACGAGACCCGGTTGAAGAAAAAATAAGGAAAGGAAAAACCTGGTGCAATTCAGTTGGCCCGGCAAGATCCAGTTGAAAACCCGTTGACTTTTTTTTTTTTTGTTAAAACAACATCGTTTTGATTTAATTTAAAAATAAAATAAAATTTGACCTGGCCAACCCGGTGACCAGGTCAAAACCCGGAACCCGAGCCTTGAACCTGACCGGGTCTTAAAACTATGATTATTAGAGTGTTTTTGATGTGTCTACAAATGAAAATGGGATGACAATTGAGTTGGGTAAAAAAATAGACTACTTGATTATTTAGTAACCTATATGGTGACCACGAGACAAGTTATTTATTTTTAAAAATAAATAAATAAATTGGATGGGCAGCACATCATTCATCCAATTTGAAGAAAAAAAAATTAAAGACTTGAGCAGATAGACCTTATACTTGTACTTATTTTTTTAAGTCCAAGATATTATTTTATTATATTATATTTAATAAAATAATTATTTTTATATTTAGTTTTTTTATTGTGATTATTGATTTTTATTATCTTATAATTAAATAAATAATAATTTTAGAAAAGTATAGAGTTATTATACCCAACCACGTCATTGAATTAGGTTAGGGTTTTGACAAATTGATTTGATATTTTCTTAACCTATATTGAAAAAAAAATTATTTTTAATTTTTTTAAATCAAATCATGTTTCATCAATTTTTTAAGTTTTTTTAGACTCACCAGGTCAACTAAATTATGAGAGCATTTGGCTTTGAGGTAACTACTATGGTTTTTTTCAAACACAATATATTAGTGTATAGTTATAAGTACTAGCTATGGTTTGGCTCACAGAGCCCACTAAAAATGAGATTTAATTGTAGGTTCTGGTGAAACAATTTTTTTCTGCTTCTCATCCTACTATATTTTTGTTCAGTGGAGAGTGATTTTATTGTTCCGGCCACTATTGTAGCCGAACCAAGTCTGATCCAAAGTTAAATGCATTGAACTGGATCCAATCTGGTTTAAAAAATTTAATTTTTATTTTTTTAATTGTGTTTTATTTGAAAAATTAGAAAGAGATCACTTGATGACATAGCATATGCAAAATTTGATCGCAATTTCAATTTTGTTCTTGTTAGGTCCGATCTAGTTAAAAAAATTTAATTTTTATTTTTTAATTGTGTTTTATTCAAAAAATTAGAAGAAGGTTACTCGATGATGTAACATTTGTAAAATTTAATCATAATTTCAATTTTTTTTTTCTGTCGAGTCCGACCCAGTTAAAAAAAATTTAATTTTTATATTTTAATTGTGTTTTATTCAAAAAATTAGAAGGGAGTTGTTTGATGATGTAACATTTGTAAAATTTGCTCGCAATTTCAATTTTGTCATTAATGATATTTTATCTGATGATATTGCGCACTTAAGAAACCATGAAAAATATAATCTTTATTGGATAAATTTTATACATGATAAAATTGCACATAGTTTAATAAAACAATAAAAAAAATATTTGATATCAATATTATTTATTTCATGATGTAATAACAATAGTTAAATGTATAATATTTAAATTAAAAATCATTAATATATATATATATATATATTATTTTATAATTTCAATTTAAAAAACATTATTTTAACCAAATACATTAAATTATTTTTGTTTAACCTCAATTTTAATCACAGTTTTAACCATACATATATTTTTCAAAACCAACCTCAACTAAAAATTGTTTTTATAATATAATTTTTTTTCAAACTACAACCACGACAGCTACTATAATACTAAATAACTAAATAGTTATTTTGAGATTCGAGCTAGCCAATCATTTAGGTTGAAAGGTTTCAAAGATGATATATGAATCCATGTGTAATGATATTTTCAAAAGATTTCTTGCAATAACACATGACTGTATTATTATTATTATTATTATTATTATTATGTCTTTTAATATATCATACTTAAATTATAATGGTGATATTTTGTAGAACTGGAATTTGGAACATGCTTGGGTATCACCTAAGAAATAAATATTGCGATGAAATTTCAAAAAATAAAAGAAAAGAAAAGAGAGCATGTTGACTAGATAAAGAAGTTTTAGTAATTGCTCTATCTTTTTTTATTTGTCCTGAGCTTTTATGTTTTATTAAATAATTATTGTTATTTAATTTTTGATTCATTTTTTAAATAAATTTTCAGAAAATTCAAAAATAATAAAAAAAAACAATAAAAATTCAAAAAATATGTTTTTAATATATTTGCATTGTTTTTAATATTTTCAATATCGTCTAAAACATAATTTAAATTTTTAAAAATCTTTTGAACGCGTTTAACTTTTTATATATTGTTTTTAAAATCATTAATTTTTTATTGAATCAACGTTGATATTCTCGTTTTTAAAAAATTAAAAAAAATTAAAATTTTATAAAAAAAAGTTAAGGTAACAATTTGAAAACCCAAATTTTACCTATAAATATAGGTCCAAAAAGTTAAAACGGGTGTATTTTTGCAATTTGAGGGAGGCAACACAAAAAAGGGGAAAACGCTAAAAAAATTCAACCTTTTCTTCTCCCTCCCCAGAACCGGCCGCCACCCCCCTCGTCAGATTTTTCCCTTCTTCTTGCCAGCCAAGGGCTGAGCCTCAGCCCTTGCACAACTGCTCACTCCCTTCTCCTCCACAGAAACTGAAAAGTTGGATAGGCGCCGATCTCAAAACCATGGCAGCGGTGGACAACACTGCCGTTGCAGAAATGAAAGGGGAAGAGGGATGTTGCCGATCCAACCATCCACACGCCTGGTCTGTTGGTGGCACGTGCAACGCTCGGCTCCGGATTTGGCAGATCTGAAAAGGGGAAAGGAAGGGAAGCCGATCTGAAAACAAGACTAAAATAGACTTGCTTGTTGTGTTTTTGGTGTTTTGTAGGTAATGGCGTTGTCGCCGCCGGTGAGGAAATTGAAGAGGGGAGGAAGCCGTTTCGGATCTCCCCTATTGCTGGTCTTTTTAACGGCGACAGTGGCGGTGACGCTTGGAGGAGACTCGCCGCCACTATTTTTTGGTCCAGAAGGACTCCCCTAAAATTCCTGGTGTTGTAGGGCCTATTTTGCAAATTTTAAATTATTTGATGTAATTTTTTTTTATTGTTTAGTTTTGAATTTTTATTATTTGTAGTTTTGATGTAACAAAAGAAAAGAAATATAGTGAAAGTGTACGTGTATGTGCGTGTTTGTATTTGTTTTAGTTTTTTTTTATTTATAATAAAATTGTAAAGAATAAAAAAAAATTTAATATTTTGATTTGATTACACATAAAAAATTATAAAACATAAAATATGTAAGTTATATTTCTAAAATTTGATGAAAAAATAGAATTTTAAAAATATATCAAAACTACACATAAAGTGCAAGTTATATTTGTAAAATTTGATGAAAGAACAGAATTTTAAAAATATATTAAAGCTACAAGCAATTTATTTTAGGTAAAATATGTAAGTTATATTTCTTTATTTTAGGTAAAATGTGTAAGTTATATTTCTAAAATTTGATGAAAAAACAAAATTTTAAAAATATATTTTATTTTAGGTAAAATATATTAGAGGTGTTAATATCTTTTCTAATCATAATTAGTCTTGTACCTATTAGAAATTCTAATCATAATCAGTCTATACTTGTCAATTTCTCATAATCAGTCTCATATCTGTAAGTTTCATATCTGTAAGTTTCTAACAAGATTAGTATATTTAAGTTTTTTAATATCTGTAAATTTCTTATAATCAGTTTCATACCTCAAGATTAGTATATCTAAGTTTTTTAATAGTTTTCAATTAAATATTGTCAATTAAAATAAATAAAAAAATAAAAAAAAATTGCCAAACGCAAATTCAACTCATGAAAATTTTTATTACACAATTTAATTTTAATTTTAAATTAAATAAAAAGTTTGATTAAAATATTTTTTTTTATTAATTTCATTCTTATTTAAATAAAGGAACATATTAATTTATTTCTTAAAATTAGAGAGATTAATTTATAATTTAATGGATAGGGTAAATAATTTGAACACAAAAAAGAAAAGAAAAGAAAAAAAATATCTAATGTTAGAAAAAGAACACACAAAGAGAGGCCGAAGGACCTCTGTTTTGTTGTCAGGTCAGGTCTCTCTCTCTCTCTCTCACACGCACACACACGCACACAGCGGTCGGTACAGAACTCTGCCATCCATATTTCCAAGCCAATCTCCAAATACAAAATCACCTTTCTCCCCTCCATTTCCCTCCAAAAAGGATCAGACTTTTTTGAAAAAAATGAAGGGAAAGAG